TCCCCAAGGGGAAGGCACGGATCCGGGTGCAGATCTCAGCCGTCCACAGCGAGGACGACATCGACCGCTGCGTGGAGGCTTTCACAGAGGTGGGGCGTAAACATGGAGCATTGCCCTGAATAGCCAGCAGGCACAGGGGATGTGATGAGGCCTTTTCCAGCCTTTCCACAAGCAAGACTATGCCTAACCTGGGGAAGAACCATAACCAGAGTGATGCCCAGAAGATAGTAGAATGTTGAAGATAAATGGATCCTGGCCTCTAGGAGGCATTAGCTACCATAGCGTTCACAGTGGTGGGGGGCGATGGTTTGGGGGTGGCTCTTCATGTTACAACACACATTAAAGATTCAACCAAGACATAAAATCCGCACAATCAAGCATCTTGGTGTGATTCTCCCATCCCAGGCCTGCAGTCTGTTCTTCCCCTCCTTCCGGCTGCTGCGGCCCATGGTGGGGAGCTTGGAGGGGGGGAAATGGTGTTGTCCCCTGAGGACAGTTGTGGGGGGTTAGAGCCTGCTGTTAGTAATCATTGTACACTTAAAGGGCATGGTTCATCTTAGCCCCTCTAAACGGCTCCAGTGGCATAAAGGGGCTGGAAAGCCGGCAGATCTGGCCCCCAGGGAATTCCCCCAGTGCAGAGGGGAGCTGGCATAACAGCGCTATGCCATGCCCGTTGGCACATCACCTCACTAACTGCTGTAAAGGGCCCATTAGCCCTGCCTGGGATGTTGGTGCCACTGTAGCTAGGGGCTTGGGGCCACTCTCCCCTCTCTGGTAATAGTTTCCATGCCGCATTGGCCATTTCAAGCCCTTATGCTTAAGTTGCTGTCCTGGTCTCAGAACACTTCACCTCCCGTGTCTGTCTCGCCTGCTCCGTCTGTAGGAGGCAGAGGAAATGCAGCTCAGTAGGTAGACCAGCAGCATTGTACCCCGTGGCCTTCTGGGGTCTCGTCAGGACTAGGCCACCGGTAAAATGGGCTGGGTTGGTTCTCGGTACCGTTCTTACGCAGTCTACAAACAACAATCACCATCCAGTAGAGGGCGCTGCTGCCCAACGTCTCTTCATAGAAGAAGGCTGGGGAGGGAGGGGAGTTCACAGAGGCTGTGTTGTCTCCAGGGGTTGAGGAGATGATCGCATTTGATGACAGTAACCTATAATTTGGATCCATTTGTTGCAATTATAACATGCCAGAAAACATGGAGCGACGTCGGGCGCTGGGACTTGTTCGTTCAAGCTCTTTGTGAGCAATTCATTTTGCAGGAGCCAGAAGTGAACCCAAGACACCATGCAGGAGAATTTTTGGCATCGTCTTTGCTCTAAATCAGAAACCTCCCGCGTGTGTGCATGCATGCGGGCGCCCTGTGTTGGCACCGCTCTGCAGGGCAAGGCAGCACTAACGTTAGCTGGTAGCTAATCCTCCCTGCGTCCCTGGGAGCAGTGGTGGGAAGTGTTACTGCCCCTCTAGAGAGCAAGAGGTAGCCCCCAAGTTAAGGAGGTGCTGGCCTACACAAGGCCTGTAAGATTTGCCCCAGCCCCTTGAACTGTATCCAGTAGCAAACGGAGATATCTGAGGCCAGATGGTGCACGCTCAAGGCAGCCCACCTCGCTTAGGAGATGAGCAGCTGTATTTTGTCCCCTCTGAAGCTTCTAGATGGTCTTTTTTTACAAGTGAGAGCTCGGGCATCTCTTGGTAGTTCTTTATCCAGTGATGCGGCTTGAAAATGAGTTGGCTCTGCTTGTCGAACTGCCACCAAGACACCTGTAAAAAGCGGCTGGAACAGGGAGGCAGAACTAGCCTGGTTGGTCTCCCCTGGTAGCTGCTGGCCCACAAGAGGCACCAGGAGAAAGCACCTGGGCAGCAGAGCCACCGCAGGGCCAGGTAGTCATTTCTTTCCTGTTACTTTTCCACATAAGCAATCACCGCAGTTGCCACATGGCCACTGGGCACTCGGGGGGGGGTGGGATGAGAGGTGATTGGGAGCCTGGGAAGGGAGCTACCAGGAGGCAATCTCTGTTCAGACTTGGTCTCCACCACGAAAACAAATGGGAATTGCCCTGTTTTAAAATGACAGGGGGCTAAAGGATCAGGAGAACGTTTGCTCCGGTTCCCAAAGGGCTCCTGTGTGCGTGCTTCCCATCTGGTAAGCTCCAGCCTTGTGAAAACTCTCCAGTCATCAGAGCCTGCTGGCACCGGTGCTAACCGACTCAGAGCAAAACCCCTGCCCAGGGGCACCCCTAGCTGAGAGGGGGATAGCCGTGTCAGGGCCAGCATATGCAGAACAAGTCAGCTCTGTCTCATGGCCACAGAAAATTATGGGAAGCTGCCTGCCACTCAGGGGCCCTATTGTACCATGAAACCAGCAGGGAGGGGCTAAGCCTCAAGGTGGGGGAGGTGCTTTGAGCCCCCAAGCAAAGCTTCCACCGTTTTAGTTATCTAAGCCACTTTTATCTTCTCGCGGCCTGTATTTACTTGTGCCCTTTTCTCCGCAGTAGGGGTAGGTACACCTAGCCCTGGCCTTGCCCCTGCATCTGGCGCACTGTAGCGAACCTGCAGCAACTCTTCTGTTCCAGTCCTGGGTTCCCACACAGCTCTACCAAATGCTAATGTGCCCCATTCTTGGTTTGCAGCCCCCTGCTGCTCCAGACCTGCTCTCCCAGTGCCCCTCAGTCCTGGTCTGCAGCTGTCCCTGCTATCCTAATCCAGCACCCATGTCAGCCAGGAGTATTGCTGAGCCAGCGCACACAGGTTGATGGTAGAAAGAGGAAGCAGATGGGAGAGGAGAAAGGCAGTGCCCCTTTTGCTGCTGCCAAACTCTCCCCTAGTAACGAGATCCCTGTGCCTCCTTCCTCAAGTGGCCCAGTTTAGCCTCTTCCCCCTCAACTGCCAAATCCCTCCCCAAGGGGCCAGCTCCCCCAGCCCCACACCACCCAGCTGCCAGACCTGCCCAAACCTCCCCACTCCCTCTGCCACAGCTGCCTCCTCTGTCCCCTCCATCCTCCCGCTCCCCTTTAGCTGCCAAACCCTTTGTCTTCATCCAGGTCTTCCCCCAACAGCAGCTGTGGTTCAAGACCCAGCTGTGCAGTTTCTGCAACAGCGTGAGCAAAATGGGGAGATCTTGAGCAAGCAAGGGTTTGGAGAAATGAAATATTGCAAACAAATAATGCCCCGTCGATTGTGGGGTTTGTGTTAACATTTAATTCACTCCAAAGCTCTCTGGTTCTCACCATTTCCTGGTGTATGTCACAGTGCTGCAGATGACACAGCTTCTCACAGTGTGCCCCATGGAAATCAGAGGGTGCTTGCTGCTCGGCAGACTACACAAGGCCAAGGCCATGCATCCCCTGCTATTCTAGTCTAGGGCTCTCCCCAGCTCTGCTGATGCACCTCAGTCCTGATCTGCCGCTCTCTGCCTCCTAGGCAGTCCAGCCCCTTGCAACCCACGCAGCGACACCGGTACATCTTGAGCCTGACCTGCAGCGACTGTATGCCTGACCTGCCACTGGTTGCAATGCGCACAGCCCTATCTCAAGCCGAATCTGCAGCTCCCCCTCATCCAATTCTGCGCAGAGGAAAAGACGTCTGTTAGTAGTGCGTTGGTGCTCTGCACTGGGCTGAGATCCACTGAGCTCATTTCATTACTGATGCCAAGGCAGCAGTTGAACCCAGTCCTCCAGAGCCCCATTAACTCTGCTCTACGCAGAGAAGACCTCAGCTGCGGGCAAGTATTTCACTGTAATTGGTATAGGTCAGGACAGAGACACAGACCAAGCCCATGGGGAGAGCAGGGCTTGAATCAAGGTAGCCACAGAGGCTGCTGCAGGCCCAGAGATGAGAGGCACAGGGCTGCTTTGGGTTCATTTGTTTGGGCTGTGGCGGGAAACGGAGCCGACCCTGTCCCAAGTCCTTCACAGCAGATAAATCGCTCAAACAACAGGCAAGCACAAGGACTCCCTGTGTAAACAGCTAACCACTGCCCTTCCTGCTTCTGGCTGTCTCTCTTCTTGCTCCCAGGTAAGGAATAGGGGACAGAGGGAGCAGAAGTGACCCCACTTCCGAGAGTCCATGCCAGTGCCCGGTAACCTTCATGGGAAGGCTCCCATGATTGGTTCCCATGAGTGCAGTGGGCTCTGGTTCAGGCCCATAGTACAGAACCCACCTCCTCCCAATGCAGCCCTGCCCTGCTCTGCCACCACAGGGAACCCTCCAGTTTAACCGAGCAGCACAGCACCCACTTCCCTTTGGGATTAGCCTTGCTGTGAAAGCACTGGGGACAAGCCGATGTCCTGAAGTGGGGATTCATAAGCAAAGGCTTATGACCCATAAGCAAAGGCTTAGCAGGCTGTGCCACTTAGCCAAGCAGCTGTGGATAGCAAAGGGATCAGTTTGGCTCCAGTTATGTATTAAATGCCACAGACTCCTACAAGTTCTTATTCTGTATCTTTATTGCTCCACACACACAGCAGGGCTTCCTTTTGGTAGTAATCGTAGCCAGCATTTCTGTAGTACCTTACCCCCATGGATCCCAAAGCCTTAGTATTATGAATCTAAACCTGAGATGACTATTGATGCCTCCAGTTCCCATGGTACTCTGTTCCTGGCTTCACTCCCTTGGATATGGGTGGGGAGCCCAAGTTCTGGCTTCCCCCTCTTCTGTAAATTTCTAGGGATCCCCAGCTTTCCACAGCCTCAGAATTTCCTCCAGGAGGATGCTGGATCCCAGCTGTAGTGGATGGAGAGATTAGAGGAGTATCTCTCTGTGATTTCTTGCTGGTCCAGGTGGAGATGAGAACATCTGGAGAGGACTCCCAGCTCTATCTGCAGTAAGGAACGTGGGTGGGGTTATGCCATCCTTCGCTCAGCCTCTCACGCCCTGGCTCCGCAGGCGATTTCAAACTGCTGCAACATGATAGCAAACCCCTGAAGGAGCACCAAGGTGCCAATGCACCCATGACCTCACCCCTCCAGTGGGGTAAGAGCCCCCTGCCCCTCACTGTCCTATTACCGACAGGAGCACTTGCAAGCAGACACTACTGGGTAGGGAATCTGCCTCCAGGTGCATTGCTGGAGAGTCCTGCCCGTGTCTATGGCTGGGTCCTTGCTCATCCAGCAGTGCCAGACCAGGAGCTTGATGTGGGTGAACTGGGCAGGACGGCAGGTCATGCCAGGAGGCCAGGAGCAGCCAGTGTGGGAGGTGTCACACTCTGTGTGGCGGACCCAACGTGGCCAGAAGACAGGCCCCAGATCCACCCAGGATGAGGTCAGGTGGCAGGTGGCGCTGTCCACCAGCCACCGACGGAGGCGGTGGGCAACAGCTTGGCTTAGGTTGCTGGCCGTCCTCTCCTCCGGGGGCAGCAGGATAGGAAGCTCCACGTTTTCAGCCTCTTGCAGCAGCTTCTTCCGGTAACGGCTGGTGCCATCGGCCAGGTCCTGGCTCAGGGTGCCCAGCTGCTCCAGGCTGGTGTTGCGGCTTCGTGGATCCTGCGAGGACATCCAGAAGGGGTCGTATGAGGGGCCCAGCAGCTTCAACAACCGAGGGGCCCTGAGATGCTTGGGCTTGGGGGCGTAGTGGTAGTCATTGGGAGAGCGGGACAGGCTATACGGCCTCACGTGGGCAGATGGCTTGCTCCGGATGAGGTGGACATCAGGATTGGGTGGGGTGGTCTCACTGATCTTCTCAGGCTGCAGAAGGTCCTCACTTAGGGGAAGGTCTCCCTCCTGGGAGAGGAGAGAGGCTCCAGAGGGAAGAGGCCCCTGGCCCCAGCTCCCCAGCAGCAGCAGGCAAATGAGACCTGCTCTGGCCACCTCCATGATGGGTGCAGCTCCTTCGAGGCTCCCCTTGCGTGTGTCTTGCTGCAGGCTGGCACTCCGAGTTCCCTCCCGCTACCTCTCTGGTTATCAGTGGATCCCTTTGGCTGAGAGAAATCCGTCCCCTTTCCCCTCATTACAGAGTCTGATACCAGACACTGCTGCAGCTCACAGAGACACAACCAGCGAATCACAGGGACACTTCCCCCCCACCCCCCGGCTGGCTGGGTGTAGAGGCAGTGGGTGATGCCAAGTGCAGCAGGTGCAGCTACAGGAGTATGGGTGGTGCTGAGTGGTAGGATTAGAGTGAGTTTTGCTGACTGTAGAGCTACAGTAAGTGCTGCTGGGGTATTGTGGGTGCTGCTGGGTCCCACAGGTGCTGCTGGCGGTGTAGGGAAGCTGCTTGGTGGAGGGGGGGTAAGTGGGGATGTAAAGATGTTCCTGCGTGTTGGGGTGCAACAGGTCCTGCTTGGCAAGGAGGGACGGTGGGTGTTGCTGGGGAAGTGGGGCTATGGCAGGGTATGGCTGAGGTTGAAGATGTGCTGCTGGTTGTCGAGGTGTGATGGGTGCTGCTGAGGCTGTAGGTCCAGCAGTTGATGCTGGAGGTGCTGCTGGAAGCACCATCCGTTGCTGGGTGTTGGGGGAAATCTCACAGCTAAGCCCTGTTGAGCAGAGTTGCCAGAGCAGGCAGCACCCAGGGGAGTGTGAGTGTGAGACCACTCGCCATACAGAGTGAATTTGAATGGCTGCTTGCCTCGGTGCATCCCAGCAGCGCTTAATTTGTAATGAAAGAGGTGCCGGGGCTTAAGCAATTAGGTGCTGGGGATCAAGCACTTTTTAAATTTTAATAAGTGACACGGTAAGCCCAAATAAAGCACTGCATCCCGGCCACCTGGGAAAGCTCCCTCCTGTATGAAGCGGTGCTGCATCCATTAACCCAACATGGGACTGGGCCCTTGGAGAAGGGAGAGAAGTGGATGGCAGGGGCGGAAGGGTTAGTTGCTCACCCTCCCCAGCGCGTGCCTCTCCCAGCAGCGATTGTGTGTTCCCCAGAGCGGTGGGGAGAAGCCACGATTGAGAGACTTGGGAGCCGTCTCATCTAAACTCCCTTGGGGAGCAGGGGAATGAGAGGAGACAGGAACTCCCTTCTTGACCTGCGCCTTGACAAGGCCACATGCCTCCAAGCCGCCTGTTCTCATAGCCACACGAGTACTGGGGCCAGGCAGACACACAGCCTCTGGGGCCCTTCATTGCCCTCCCTGGCTGCTTCAGAGTTTAACCCTGTGTGTTTAACTAGCCTACCCAGCCACGGGCCCCAGGAGGGGGGCTGGAGTCCTTGCACACCCCATGCTCTCTGAGGGGTTACTGCCATGGCTGAGCTGGGCTCATGATGCCCTTGGCGCTCTGGCCTGTGTGTTAGTGTCACCGCAGGGCCCACAAGCGGCTCTGCCTGCGACCCCTCGAGTCCCACCCCACACACCTCCCCTCCCCAGGCGTCCCAGCAACTCCTGCCGGGGAAGGTGCCACCCCTCCTCCAACAAGCCACTCTAGCCCCTGTGTGTCTGGCTGCCTGCAGGGTGTCCCCCCGCCCCGTTACCCCATGCCCCCAGGGGACCCCCGGCACCCTCTGCTGCGGGAGCTGAGCCGCTGGGGGGACACGTGCGGCAGCTCTGTCCTCCCCTCGGTGCCGGCCAGGCTCATGACGAGCCTGGGGTCGCTGAGGCTCTGTACCCCAGCGGGCGGGGGGCAGGGCCCGGCGGCAGATCGGCTGGGCCGAGCCAGGCCAGGCCAGCGGGTCGCTGCGGGCTCTGGGGGAGTTTCTGCCCGTGTGAGCCACCAGCCTGCTGTGCCGCGGGGGAAGGGGGCGCTGGACGCCGGGCGCGGGGGAGTGAACGCCGGCGCCGGCCTCCCGGAGCGGGGAGCAGCGCGGCCGGCGGGCGGCGCCGGGAAGGAGGGAGCCAGGGGGGGCCCGCGCCACGTGCGGGAGACGCAGCTCAGGCAAACTCCGGGTCCCCGCTGGCCCGTGCGGAGGGAGCGGGATCGCAGCGCCCCGGCCCCGCGGGGCTCCCCCGGCGCGAGGCGCAGGTGAGTGGGCGGGGCCGGGCCGGGCTGGCGGAGGCGGCGCGTTCGCTCGTCCCTTGCTCCGAGTCCTGCCCCGTCCCCGGGGCCCGGGGGGAGCGAGCGCCCCGCTGCCAGCGCCCGCCACTCGACGGGGAGAGCGACAGAGCCCGCCCGCTGCTGCCGTGCGGCTCCGGGCTGGGGGGGCAGGGGTCCGTGTGGGGCAGAGGGGATGTTGGGGGAGGGGGAGAGCTGGGGGGACAGGGGTCCGTGTGGGGCAGAGGGGATGCTGGGGGGGGGGAGAGCTGGGGGGACAGGGGCTGTGTGGGGAGGGGGGATGCTGGGGGGGGGAGAGCTGGGGGGACAGGGGTCCGTGTGGGGCAGAGGGGATGCTGGGGGAGGGGGAGAGCTGGGGGGACAGGGGTCTGTGTGGGGCAGAGGGGATGTTGGGGGAGGGGGAGAGCTGGGGGGACAGGGGTCCATGTGGGGCAGGGGGGATGTTGGGGGAGGGGGGAGCTGGGGGGACAGGAGTCTGTGTGGGGCAGAGGGGATGCTGGGGGAGGGGGAGAGCTGGGGGGACAGGGGTCCGTGTGGGGCAGAGGGGATGTTGGGGGAGGGGGAGAGCTGGGGGACAGGGGTCCGTGTGGGGAGAGGGGATGTTGGGGGAGGGGGAGAGCTGGGGGGACAGGAGTCTGTGTGGGGCAGGGGGATGTTGGGGGAGGGGGGAGCTGGGGGGACAGGGGTCTGTGTGGGGCAGAGGGGATGCTGGGGGAGGGGGAGAGCTGGGGGGGACAGGGGTCTGTGTGGGGCAGAGGGGATGTTGGGGGAGGGGGGAGAGCTGGGGGGACAGGAGTCTGTGTGGGGCAGAGGGGATGCTGGGGGAGGGGGAGAGCTGGGGGGACAGGGGTCCGTGTGGGGCAGAGGGGATGCTGGGGGAGGGGGGAGAGCTGGGGGGACAGGGGTCCGTGTGGGGCAGAGGGGATGTTGGGGGAGGGGGAGAGCTGGGGGGGACAGGGGTCCGTGTGGGGCAGAGGGGATGCTGGGGGAGGGGGGAGAGCTGGGGGGACAGGGGTCCGTGTGGGGCAGAGGGGATGTTGGGGGAGGGGGAGAGCTGGGGGGACAGGGGTCCGTGTGGGGCAGAGGGGATGCTGGGGGGAGGGGGAGAGCTGGGGGGACAGGGGTCCGTGTGGGGCAGAGGGGATGTTGGGGGAGGGGGAGAGCTGGGGGGACAGGGGTCCGTGTGGGGCAGAGGGGATGTTGGGGGAGGGGGAGAGCTGGGGGGACAGGAGTCCGTGTGGGGCAGAGGGGATGCTGGGGGAGGGGGAGAGCTGGGGGGACAGGGGTCCGTGTGGGGCAGAGGGGATGTTGGGGGAGGGGGAGAGCTGGGGGGACAGGGGTCTGTGTGGGGCAGGGGGGATGCTGGGGGAGGGGGAGAGCTGGGGGGACAGGAGTCCGTGTGGGGCAGAGGGGATGCTGGGGGAGGGGGAGAGCTGGGGGGACAGGTGTCCGTGTGGGGCAGAGGGGATGCTGGGGGAGAGCTGGGGGGACAGGTGTCCGTGTGGGGCAGAGGGGATGCTGGGGGGGAGCTATGGAAACAGGTCTCTGTGAGCAGGGGTGCTGGAACAATTTGTGGGGGGGGGGGTTGCTGAGAGCCATTGAACCAAACTGTAAAGCCTGGATAGGATGGAAACTGCTTTACAGCAGGGGGTGCAGCAGCCCCCATAGTTCCAGCACCTATGGCTGTGTGAGGCAGAGCAGGCTCTGGAGTGAGAGCTATGGGGACGGGTCTCTCTATGTTGAGCACAGGGGACCCGGGGTGGGCCGGGAATCTGTGAGGACAGGTCTCTCCTTATGGGGCAGAGAGGATGCTGGGGGGAAGATCTACAGGGACAGGTCTCTCTGTGTGGGGCAGAGGGGATTCTGGGAGGGAAAGCTGTGGAGACAGGTTTCTGCATGTGGGGCAGAGGGGATTCTGAGAGCTGTGGGGGACTGGTCTCTCTGTTTGGGGCAGAGGGGATTCCGGGGAGGAAGACCTCTGGGGAGATGCTCACTCCATGTGGGGCAGAGGGGACTCTGGGGTCGGGGGCAGGGATCTATGGGCATAGGGGATAGAGGGGATTCTGAAAAGCTATGGGGACAGATCTCTCTGTGCGGGGGAGAGAAGATGCTGGGGTGGGGGAGATGTATGGGGACAAGTCTCTCCATGTGGTGCAAAGTTTACTCAGGGATGAGAGCTCTGGGGACAGGCCTCCCCCCTGTGTGGAGCAGAGGGGATTCTGGGGGGTGAGAGGTGTGGGGGGAAGAGAGGACGCTGGGCGGGAGAGCTGTGGGAACGGGTCTCCCCCAGTGTGGGCCAGAGGTACAGAGTCAGCCCCTCGAGAGCCAGGAGCGCAGAGACAACCTACTGGAGTGATAGAAAGGGTTTTACAAATGAGAGGGAAAGCCCTGGTCCTGGCTGGAGTAACACAGAAGAAACTCTGGGGACTCGTGGCACCCATAAAAAGTTGATCAGATGTTGCTTGGTAACAGTGTCGTTCCCTCATAATTACTGATCAACCAATGACAATTTATTCTGCTGCGGTAATAAGAAGAAGAAGAAGAAGAAGATCATCTGATATAGGGTACGATGCTTGTGCCTCATTGGTGACGTGCACTGTCACGCAATGCTCTGCTTGAGGCCGTTGTGTGCGCGAAGTCCTGGAATTAACCAGACTACTCCAGTTTCCTGCTCATGTAATTGAACTTAGCTTCTTAATGATTATTACTTTGTCTTACGGTAGTGCCTAGAGGAGCCAGCCGGGACCATTCTGCTAGGTGCTATATAAATACATAGAGAGAGATAGTCCCTGCCTCAGAGAGCTCACAATCTAAATTGACAGGCCAGATGAAGGGTGGGAGGAAGGGAAATGGGTGCAAAGTGGGACAGTGACTTGCTCGAGGTCACAGAGACAGGAGTAGAACCCAGGTCTCCTGATGCCCGGGCCTGGGCTGTGTCCACTGAACAAAACTGCCTCTGCTCATACAAAACTGGTCATTTTTCTAATTCATCCCTGGATCTCTGATTACTTCAAACATGGCAAGAGGCAGCCATCCCCTGGTGTGGGACACCGAGTGATCTCTAGATGCTGGCCCCTCCCCTGTATAGAACAGTGGGGACGCTGGGTTGAAAGAGAGAGCGCTAAGCCCTCTTTGGTGTGGGACAGAGCAGAGGGAGCCGGGCTGGAGGGTGCTGGGGTCATGCATGGTGGTTTGCTCTGGTAAGGAAGGGCTGATTGTGTCCCTCCTAACTTAGATGGTAGAACCCCTCAGCCTAGGAGACCTCCCTGCTATCAGAGCTGGTTAGGTGATGCTGTGGGGATAGAAGGTGCAGCGTCCCTTTCCCCTCCCCCAAGGGCTGCCTCCTCCTTCCCTGGGGGCCTCTGCTGAGCCCCTGTCAAAGGAAAGCTGAGATTAAAACTCACTAAAACAAGAAATCCCAAGAGGTTTAACGGCTTTGGGAATGTGATGGAGTAAAGGGGGTCAAGTGGTGCCTGGCAGAGGCTCCCCCCACCAGCGGCCGGTGTCACCGTTGGTACTTGCACCCTTGCAGTTTTGGCTGGTGCAGGAGGAGGTCTTGGATTCAGCACAGCTAGGGTCCCTGTGGTGACCTAAAGCCAAGCAAATCCTGACTGGCTGATCCCAGTAGAAGTCCAGCCAATTACGTCACAGTGGATGAAAGGACTTGGCATCTCTTGATGTCATCATTAAATCAGCTTATTGGATGCTGACGTCTAATGGGAGATGGGACCTCAGGGGCCACAAGGGAGCGAAAGGCCTTGTTCTTAGTTTAGCAGGATGTCAAAGGCTATGACCCTCCGCTGTGCTCTGATGTGACAGCAGGCCAGGGTTCGACTCATAGTGACCAGCAAACACACTGCAGTCTCACCCCAAACGCCACTGCACCTCAGTCACCTCACTGGGGTGTCCCTGTGCATGTGTTTGCTCTGGCCAGAACTGGCCCTTGGTTTTGTGAAGCTCTGTGTGAAGTGACAACTCCTGCCCCACTCAGGTTCAAGCCTCACCTCCCTGTATCCGCAACTCTGCCAGTCTCCTCCTACCTGCCTGTGACCCCCTCAGGCTGTAGCAAATCCCTCTCAGCTCTGAGTGAGGCTCTGTGGCTCCTGGGGACCCTTCCTCATACGGGCCAGGAGATGGCGCCAAAGTGCAGTTTTCTAAGCGGGGGTAGGAAGAGCTGTTATGAAATTCACCCCCTGCCACTGCCCTTGGGCGCCAGACTCAAACGGGACCATGGACAGGGGCCCAGGGATGGGGCCCAGTATGATGGGTCGGTGGGAGTGTGAAGTGAGACCCTGGAAGGGCAGGGATCTATGCAGCTGCATGGGCCTAAAGGCACCACCGCTCCTTTACAGTAGCATAGCCAAAATGCACACTAGGGCCTCTCACTGGGAGGCTCATGGGTTCGCCTTGCTGAGACACCCCAGAGGGGTGTTCGCTCCAGCTAGGCGGAGTCAATAGGAGCAGGGCTGACAGTAGCTGCTGTGTTCTCCACTGAGAGGTGTTCTTGTGCTGCTGGTACCCAGCGGACGCTGGAGATGCACAGTGGACCTGCTGTTTTTCTCTCTTCCCTCCCTTGCCAGGCCCACTGTCTGATGGGGAGATGCCAGAGAGCTGGAATGCCTCCTCCAACAGCCTGGAGGTGCGAGCCGCAGGCATCATCGTGCCAGTGGCCTTCTCCCTCATCTTCCTCCTGGGCACAGTGGGGAATGGGCTGGTGCTGGCTGTGCTGCTGCGTAATGGCCAGGTGAAGTACAACACCACCAACCTGTTCATCCTCAACCTGGCCATGGCGGACCTCTGCTTCATCATCTGCTGCGTCCCCTTCCAAGCCACCATCTACACACTGGACGGGTGGCTCTTCGGCCCCTTCGCCTGCAAGGCTGTGCACTTCCTCATCTACCTCACCATGTATGCCAGCAGCTTCACCCTGGCAGCCGTCTCTGTCGACAGGTGAGCAATGTTCCCTCTAATTTCTGACAGGCCATGTGCGCAAAAAATTTCTTCTGTGCAAATTGTTGTGCTTCTGTGCAAATTTTTGTGCGCGCGGTGTTTTGCCGTGTGCGCGGGGTTTACGATCTGTGTGCGCCCGCACAGCTTAGAGGGTACAGTGCAGGTGAGCCTCCTCCACCCTTCCCCAGTCACGCTTTGGGTCTCTTGCTTCAGTTCAAGAGACTGGATTGGCATGGCGAGGTAAGTGTAGGAGAAAAGCAGACCCCACCCACATCTGTCAGGAGCGGGCACAACCCACCCAGGACAGGGTCACTCACTGTGTCTGGGGTTTGATCCCCAGTGGCCACTTGTCACTGCTGTCCATTTCTGACCCAGTGGCAGGCCGTTGCACAGGGCCATGCATGTGCTCTTACCCTCAACCACAATCCTAGCAGATCTACCCTGACCCATTCCACAGAGCTCCCTCACCTTCCACCTCCATCCCCTCCCTTGACTCATTCCACAAGTCTCCCTTCTCTGCCAACCCACAGATTTCTCCTCCCAGCTCTCTCCATTCTCCCTTCCCCTCGTAAACCTCTCTCGTTATCCCTCTCCCCCATTTCCCTTTCCTCTCTCCTGCCTTCTCTGTCGCTCCTCACCTCCTGCTCCTCCTCTCTCTCAGCACCCAAAACAAGCTCTCCCACAGTCTGCTTACCCAGCCCTTTCTCTTCCTTGCTGGGGAGAGGTTGGTTTGTTCTTCCAGACAGGAGTGGACTGAGGCTGGATTTCTGCTCTCCAAACCCATCAGTCCCCCAGGCCCAATGCAGCAGGGTGCTAGTGAGGAAACTAGAATCTCTCCCATGGCTGACTGAGGAGGATCAAAGAGTCCATTGAGTGGAGGAGGGATTGGGGGAAGAATGCTTGGGTGGAGAAAGAAAGAAAGAAAGAAAGAAAGAAAGAAAGAGAAAGAAAGAAAGAAAGATAGATAGATAGATAGATCAAATTGACCAGGGGGTTCTGCTTAATCCTCCCTTCCAAGGGATGGAGGAGGGAAGATGAGAGGCCCCACTGGAGACAGCACCTGGGAGGGGGCTGCATGGAACAGCAGGACAGTGACCGTGAAGTTCCTTTGCTGACTCATTTGTTTTGCTGTTTAAACCCCACCTCACCCCATCCCACGCTGCAGGTACCTGGCCATTCGCTACCCGCTGAAATCCCGGGATCTCCGGATCTCCCGGAATGCAGTGGTTGCCATCATAGTGATCTGGACCCTGTCACTGCTCTTCGCAGGGCCCTACCTCAGCTACTACCAGATTGTCCACTACCACGGGGTACCCATCTGTGTCCCCATCTGGGAGGACCAGCACCGGAAGATCCTGGACATCCTCACCTTTGTGTTTGGGTACCTCCTGCCTGTGGCTGTCGTGAGCTTGGCTTATGCCAGGACCATCAAGTTCCTGTGGACCTCAGTAGACCCTGTCGAGAGAATCTCAGAGTCCCGTAAGGCCAAGTGCAAGGTCACCAAGATGATTGTGGCTGTGGCCATACTCTTCTGCCTCTGCTGGCTGCCCCACCACCTGGTCATCCTATGCTTTTGGTTTGGCTACTTCCCCTTCAACCGAGTCACTTATGCCTGCCGCCTGGCCTCTCACTGCCTGTCATATGCCAACTCCTGTCTCAACCCCATTGTCTATGCCCTCATCTCTAAGCATTTCCGCAAGAAGTTCAAGCTGGTCTTCACTTGCCTCCTCTTCCAGAACAAGAACAGGAAGAAGAAGAGAGCTGGCAATAAAGTCCACGTGACCAATGTGGCCAACAATGCTGTAGGTGCGTATGGAGGGAACACCGAGGTCTCACAGATCCAGGAGGAGAATGCCAGGTGCTGCCAGGGCCTGCTGCGGAAAGATGCTGAAGACACCCATCTCCCTGAGGCATGGACTCATCAGCTACAGGACACCACTGCCTCTGCTCAGAGAGGACTGCTGGCTGAAGAAAGTTCTGTAACAACTGGCAACCCACTGGCTGTGACCTCACCAGGAAGATCTCAGGGCCTGCTGACCCTCCACTGATAATATAAACCAAGAGGAGAAATGCATAATCCAGTGGGGGAGTCACCCTTCCACCCCTGTGTATGCAAGCAGATTGAAGGATGTAGCCATTGGGAAATTGCACTGCAGTGATGGCTAATCTTAACAGTGTCAGCTGTGGCTTTTTTATGATCGTTCCACTCTTATCCACTTCCCTGTACCATTCTTGTGGGAGCAGTGGAATCCATCAATGGAAATTCAGAAAGCAGGAGCATGCTAACATAAAAACAAGAGACATGGAGAACTAGACACAGCATGATCCCTGGGGAAAGGACTGGACTCCCATTGCCCTGGGCACGATATTGAAAATATGTGGCGAGGAGAAGGGGAAGGAGTTTTACCACCATGTGCGATATGACACCACACAATTAACGGTGTGATCCAGTGTAAGGCACTGCCCACATATTGGGGTTCAAAGATTTGAACTTCCCTCTTGAGATTAATTAGCCCCTCGATAAACCCTGTGTGGGTGTCTGTTGCTCACAGTCACCCAGGGGGTATTCCCCCTACACATTTTCAACAGTGCCCACTAATTTTGCATGGCATCTTGGGTACTGGAAAATTGCGACTAGCAAAATTAACGTACCCTGTTTGAAACCACATGCTGTGGTGTGGGTATCAGAATGCTGGGGGGCGTGGTTGGAAGAATGTGTGTGTGTGGCTATGTGTGAAGAGAGTTAGTCATTTTGTTTGGGCTAGGGATGGGAATAGGATCTCTATGTGTGTCTGTGAAAACGGGGCAGTTCAAAACCTCTGTCACTGGAAAAACTGGGGCAATGTGTCTAACATCTCATGCTCAAATAAATTGGTTAGTCTCTAAGGTGCCACAAGTACTCCTTTTCTTTATCCCAAGCAGTGGAATTCTGTTCCCTGACTGGGTGTCTTCTCCTCTCTAGTAATTCCCAGCAGGTTTAGGCCGTTCTCCAATGCGAATCCTCCTCCCCCAGCTACTCCACTCTGTATCACAGAGGGCCTTGTTTGCAATTCTAGCTGAAAACCCCAATTGCAAGGAAGTCAGCAGCTCATATCAATATCTTCTTATACTAATTCTACCACCATCACTGTTATTAAAATGATTTATTATATAGCAAGTAAAAAATGGAAAACCTGGTATTATTACATCTTAGTGTCCCCTCCCATGCATGCTGATAGACTCATAGAAGCTTGAGATGGAAAAGCTCTGTTAGTTTATTAAGTCGGTCTCTTCCCTCCACCCTGGCAAAGCAGGATGATTCCCTACAGAACACTTCCTAGTGTTTTGTCCACTCTAGCTTTATATGTCCTCACTACTGTCCTAATGCTCCTTTGGGTATGTCTACACTACGAAATTAGATCGAATTTATAGAAGTCGGTTTTGTAGAAAGCGGTTTTATACAGTCGATTGTGTGTGTCCCCACACAAATGCTCTAAGTGCATGTAGTCGGCGGAGTGTGTCCACAGTACCGAGGCAACCGTCGGCTTCCGGAGCGTTGCACTGTGGGTGGCTATCCCACAGTTCCCGCAGCATCTGCCACCCATTTGAATTCTGGACAGAAATCCCAGTGCCTTATGGGGCTAAAACATTGTCGCGGGTGGTTCTGGGTACATATCGTCAGGCCCCCGTTCCCTCCCTCCCTCCGTGAAAGCAAGGGCAGACAATTGTTTTGCGCCTTTTTTCTTGAGTTACCTGTGCAGACACCATACCACGGCAAGCATGGAGCCTGCTCAGCTAACCGTCACCGTATGTCTCCTGGGTGCTGGCAGACGTGGTACTGCATTGCTACACAGCAGCAGCAACCCATTGCCTTTTGGCAGCAGACAGTACAGCATGACTGGTAGCTGTCGTCGACGTAGTCCTGGGTGCTCTTTTAATCGGGCGCCTGGGCAAACATGGGAGTGACTCAGCCAGGTCATTTCCCTTGTTTCGTCTCGTGGCGATTCAGTCCTACCGGCAGTGCGCTGCCTTTTAACCTCCAGCCAGCAAAAGATGATGGCTAGTCGTCATACTGCTCCATCTTCGGCCGAGCACCCAGGAGATAATGATGGCTAGCGATCGTACTTCACAGTCTGCTGCCAGCAAGATGTATAAAGATAGATGAAGTGGCTCAAAACAAGAAATAGACCAGATTTGTTTTGTATTCATTTTCTCCTCCCTCCCTCTGTGAAATCAACGGCCTGCTAAACCCAGTTTTGAGTTCTATCCTTGAGGGGGCCATTCAGTTTCTCGCAAAGCCACCCCCTTTGTTGAGTTTAATTCCCTGTAAGTCAACCCTGTAAGCCGTGTCGTCAGTCGCCCCTCCCTCCGTCAGGGCAACGGCAGACAATCGTTCCGCGCCTTTTTTCTGTGCAGACGCCATACCACAGCAAGCATGGACCCCGCTCAGATCACTTTGGCAATTAGGAGCACGTTAAACACCACGCGCATTATCCAGCAGTATATGCAGCACCAGAACCTGGCACAGCGATACCGGGCGAGTAGGTGACGTCAGCGCGGTGACGTGAGTAATGAGGACATCGACACAGACTTCTCTCAAAGCAGGGGCCCTGGCAATATGGGCATCATGGTGCTAATGGGGCAGGTTCATGCAGTGGAACGCTGATTCTGGGCTCGGGAAACAAGCACAGACTGGTGGGACCGCATAGTGTTGCAGGTCTGGGACGATTCCCAGTGGTTGCGAAACTTTTGCATGTGTAAGGACACTTTCATGGAACTTTGTGACTTGCTTTTCCCTGCCCTGAGGCGCAAGAATACCAAGATGAGAGCAGCCCTCACAGTTGAGAAGCGAGTGGCAATAGCCCTGTGGAAGCTTGCAACGCCAGACAACTACCAGTCTGTTGGGAATCAATTTGGAGTGGGCAAATCTACTGTGGGGGCTGCTGTGATGCAAGTAGCCAATGCAATCAAAGATCTGCTGATATCAAGGGTAGTGACCCTGGGAAATGTGCTGGTCATAGTGGTTGGCTTTGCTGCAATGGGATTCCCTAACTGTGGTGGGGCCATAGACGGAACCCATATCCCTATCTTGGCACCGGAGCACCAAGACGGCAAGTACATAAACCGCAAGGGGTACTTTTCAATAGTGCTGAAAGCACTGGTGGATCACAAGGGATATTTCACCAACATCAACGTGAGATAGCCGGGAAAGGTACATGACGCTCGCATCTTCAGGAACTCTGGTCTGTTTCAAAAGCTGAAAGAAGGGACTTTATTCCCAGACCAGAAAATAACCGTTGGGGACATTGAAATGCCTATATGTATCCTTGGGGACCCAGCCTACCCCTTAATGCCATGGCTCATGAAGCCATACACAGGCAGCCTGGACAGAAGTCAGGAGCTGTTCAACTACAGGCTGAGCAAGTGCAGAATGGTGATAGAATGCGCATTTTGACGTTTAAAAGCACGCTGGCGCAGTTTACTGACTCAGTTAGACCTCAGCAAAACCAATATTCCCACTGTTATTTCTGCTTGCTGTACGCTCCACAATATCTGTGAGAGTAAGGGGGAGACGTTTATGGCAGGGTGGGAGGTTGAGGAAAATCACCTGGCTGCTGGTTTCGCACAGCCAGACACCAGAGCGGTTAGAAGAGCACAGGAGAGTGCGGTGCGCATCAGAGAAGCTTTGAAAACCGGTTTCATGACTGGACAGGCAACGGTGTGAAAGTTCTGTTTGTTTCTCCTTGATGAAACCCGCCGCCCCTTGGTTCACTCTACTTCCCTGTAAGCTAACCACTCTCTCCTCCTCCCTTCGATCACCGCTTGCAGAGGCAATAAAGTCATTGTTGCTTCACATTCATGCATTCTTTATTAATTCATCACACAAATAGGGGGATAACTACCAAGGTAGCCCAGGAGGGGTGGTGGAGGAGAGAAGTACCAGGAGGGGTGGTGGAGGAGGGAAGGACAAGGCCACACAGCACTTTAAAAGTTTAAAACTTTAAAACTTATTGAATGCCAGCTTTCTGTTGCTTGGGCAATCCTCTGGGGTGGAGTGGCCGGGTGGCCAGAGGCCCTCCCACCGCATTCTTGGGCGTCTGGGTGAGGAGGCTATGGAACTTGGGGAGGAGGGTGGTTGGTTACACAGGGGCTGTAGCGGCGGTCTGTGCTCCTGCTGCCTTTCCTGCAGCTCAACCATACGCTGGAGCATGTTGGTTTGATCCTCCAGCAGCCTCAGCATTGAATCCTGCCTCCTCTCATCACGCTGCCGCTACCTTTCAGCTTCAGCCTCTCTTCAGCCTGCCACTTAATCTCTTCAGCCCACCACCTCTCCTCCCGGTCATATTGTGCTTTCCTGCACTCTGACATTGTCTGCCTCCACGCATTCGTCTGTGCTATGTCAGTGTGGGAGGACAGCATGAGCTCAGAGAACATTTCATCACAAGTGTGTTTTTTTCGCCTTCTAATGTTCACTAGCCTCTGGGAAGGAGAAGATCCTGTGATCCTTGAAACACATGCAGCTGGTGGAGAGAAAAAAAAAAGAGGCAGTGGTATTGAAAAAGACACATTTTCTAGAACAATGGCTACACTCTTTCACGGTAAACCTTGCTGTTAACATTACATACACAGCACGTGCTTTCATTCCAAGGTTGCATTTTGCCTCCCCCCACCACGTGGCTAGCCCCTCACCCCCCCTCCCCCATGGCTAACAGCGGGGAACATTTCTGTTCAGCCACAGGCAAACAGCCCAGCAGGAATGGGCACCTCTGAATGACCCCTTAAGAAAAGCACCCTATTTCAACCAGGTGACCATGAATGATATCACTCTCCTGAGGATAACACAGAGAGATAAAGAACGGATGTTGTTTGAATGCCAGCAAACATACACTGCAATGTTTTGTTCTACAGTGATTCCCGAGTACGTGCTACTGGCCTGGTGTGGTAAAGTGTCCTACCATGGCGGGTGGAATAAGGCTGCCCTCCCCAGAAACCTTTTGCAAAGGCTTTGGGAGTACATCCAGGAGAGCCGCAAATGTCAGGGCAAATTAATCATTAAACATGCTTGCTTTTAAACCATGTATAGTATTTTAAAAGGTACACTCACCAGAGGTCCCTTCTCCACCTGGCGGGTCTGGGAGGCAGCCTTGGGTGGGTTCGGGGGGGGGACTGCCTCCAGGTCCAGGGTGAGAGAAAGTTCCTGGCTGTCGGGAAAACCGGTTTCTCTGCTTGCTTGCTGTGAGCTATCTACAACTTCATCATCGTCATCTTCCTCATCCCCAAAATCTGCTTCTATGTTGCCTCCATCTCCATTGAAGGAGTCAAACAACACGGCTGGGGTAGTGGTGGCTGAACCCCCTAAAATGGCATGCAGCTCATCATAGAGGCGGCATGTTTGGGGCTCTGACCCAGAGCGGCCGTTTGCCTCTCTGGTTTTCTGGTAGGCTTGCCTCAGCTCCTTAAGTTTCACACGGCATTGCTTCGGGTCCCTGTTATGGCCTCTGTCCTTCGTGCCCTGGGAGATTTTGACAAATGTTTTGGCATTTCAAAAACTGGAACAGAGTTCTGATAGCACGGATTCCTCTCCCCATACAGCGATCAGATCCCGTACCTCCCATTCGGTCCATGCTGGAGCTCTTTTGCAATTCTGGGACTCCATCATGGTCACCTCTGCTGATGAGCTCTGGCCAGTGTGGCAAGCTGCAGTTGACCATGCAAACAGGAAATTTAAATTCAAAAGTTTGCGGGCCTTTTCCTGTCTACCTGGCCAGTGCATCTGAGTTGAGAGTGCTGTCCAGAGCGGTCACAATAGAACACTCTGGGATAGCTCCCGGAGGCCAATACCGTCTAATTGCGTCCAGAGTACCCCAAATTCGACCCGGCAAGGCCGATTTAAGTGGTAATCCCCTTGTCGGGGGTGGAGTAAGGAAATCGATTTTAAGAGCCCTTTAAGTCGAAAAAAAGGGCTTCATCGTGTGGAGGGGTACAGGTTTACATCGATTTAACGCTGCTAAATTCAACCTAAACTCCTAGTGTAGACCAGGGCTCAGTCTTCATGGAAATCTCGAATGGCTGCAAGGCAGGTATGGGAACAGGATTGGTTAGTGGAGTGGAATCATGGGGAAGATCTGGCTTAAGAAATGGGCCCCTCTGTTTGATAACCACTGACACTGTATCCAAAGTTAAAGAGCTGTTCCTTTGGATGAGCCCCCTGGCCTCAGTGCAGTCACATTGGAACCCTCCCTCGTTCCTGCAGCTGTTCCCCTGCATTCCCACCTGGCCCTGCAGTCCCACTGGAATGTTTCATTGTTAAGGCAGCTGGACCACTCAGATTTATACAACACCGCCTAGCCCCTGACAAGAGAGTGGCTGACATCCCCCAGTGCTGACCCAATGGGGGAGAACACAGTGGGGTGGTATGTAACCTGCAGGGTTTGGGGCAAAGGGGATTATTGCTTATGAGGAACTGCTGGGATTTCTCTCCCGTGTGAGATTAATAAACCTTGGTGAATTTCTTTGCCTAGTCTGTGTTCTTCTTTACTCTCCGTGCTCCAGCCACACTCACTTAACACAGTGGGGATTATTTCCCTATTTGGGACTGGGGAAAGGAGCAATCAGGGATTCTGTGAGCTCCCTGACCTGCTTTCTGATGAGACTTGATTACTAACTACTAAAAAATTGACCCAACACATCCTGCATAATTATATGTAGGGGACAGGTCCGAAAATTTCAGGAAGGAGCTGAAAGCATCATTGGAATTCAATAGAGAGTCATGGGAAAGATAGAGTCATAGATTCCAAGGCCAGAGGGGACCATTGTAATCATCTAGTTGATCTCCTCTATCATGCAGTCCACAGAACTTCCCCAGAATAATTCCTCTAGAGCAGATCTTTTAGAAAAAACAGCCACTTAAAAATTGTCACTGATGGAGAATCCTCCATGAGGTAAATTGTGCCAATGATTAATTACTCTCACCATTAAAAAATTATACCTTATTTCCAGTCTGAATTTGGCTAGCTTCAACCTCCAGCCATTGGATCATGTTACACCTTTCTCTGCTTGACTGAAGAGCCCATTATCAAATATTTATTCCCCAGGTAGATATATAGAGACTGACATCAAATCACTTTGGATGGGCTATCACGAGCAGGAGAGTGAATTTTTGTGGGGGGGTGGAGGGCGAGAAAACCTGGATTTGTGCTGGAAATGGCCCAACTTGATGATCACTTTAGATAAGCTATTACCAGCAGGACAGTGGGGTGGGAGGAGGTATTGTTTCATATTCTCTGTGTGTATATAAAGTCTGCTGCAGTTTCCACGGTATGCATCCGATGAAGTGAGCTGTAGCTCACGAAAGCTCATGCTCAAATAAATTGGTTAGTCTCTAAGGTGCCACAAGTACTCCTTTTCTTTTTTCATTATTCTTGTGGCTCTTTTCTGAACCCTCTCCAATGATCAACATCCTTCTTGAATTGTGGGCACCAGAACTGGATGCAGTATTCCAGCAGCAGTCACATATGTGTCAAATACAGAGGTAAAATAACCTCTCTACTCTAACTCAAAAATCCACTGTTTACACATCCCAGGTTCGCATTAGCCCTCTTGGCCACAGCATCACATGGGGAGCTCATGTTCAGCTGTTTATCCAGCAAAATCCCCAACTCTTTTTCAGTCACTTCTTCCCAGGCTAGAACCCCCCATCCTGTAAGTGTGGCCTGCATTCTTTGTTCCTAGTTGTATACATTTAGCCATATTAAAATACTTCTTGTTTGCTTGTGCCCAGATGCAAGAGGAGAAAAGGAGAGGTGAGGGAAGGTGAAATAAATCATTTGATGCAGTTCCTACGCAAATCAACAAAGAGACTAGAAGATGGGGGAGTTTGCTTTAATTCACACTGACAAGCGACGGGATGCACTGAGAGAGGAAGCAGAGCCGGCTAGGGAGTGGAGGAGAAAATCAGAGTTAGGAGAAACCCTGCACACAGAAAGCTGTACATCTGACAGGAGTCTTAGTCCCACCCGCACCCCTTCACATGGGGTCATGCTCTTGCAAAGGCCTTTTGAATGGCTAAGGCCCCAGGAGCACCCTGCCCTAAGCCAGCTTTCTGTGATGTTTCAGGCCCCAGATCAGCAGAACTGGCATTTTTGATCAGCACAGCAGAGATCTCTGAGGCCAGAAAATTTCCCAGAGTGAGAGAGCCTTTGATCAAAGGCCTGCGAGTGAGATCAGTGAACACTCTCAGCTAACAGCAGGGGTCTTTTCCCGCAGAGAGCACCTGTCCCTGGGGCACAGCAGGAGAGCACAGCGAAGGAATTCTAACAGAGGTTACACACAATACTCACTCCACAATACTGAGTGATTTCTACAATGCCTGCTCTCTGAGGCTCCCAAAGCACCCTGCTGACTTTACAGAGTACTGATCTGTAGCGAACGCTTTGTAACTCAGAAATGCAGCCATTTCTGGGGTGAAGGCTGTTCCAGAGTATACAGGAACATTACACAACAGAGCAGGAAGAGGGGAATCCCATACTCAATTGAAAATGAAACGTTATGGACAGAATGTAATGAGCAGAATTGAAATTAGGCTAGAGAACACTGGGGCTAACTCCCTGGTGGGCCAGAGGGACATGGGGGCATGCTGGGAAGTGGGCCACCTGAATAGAAGCACTCTTTCCCCAGTCCAGTGAGGGGAAATGGTTGTGACTTTCTCCTGCTCCTAGGCAGGGGCAACTGGCGGGTTTCTTTGGCCAGAAAAAGAAGGTCTGGGCAGGGAGGCTTAGGATCTGTTGGCCTAGCAAGGAGTCTAGCAGGTAGCGGCTGA